GCATTCCTGGAAATACTTTCCCCTGTGAAAGCAGTGATCAGAATTCCAATGACTGAGGGGAAAATATTATCTCAGCATGGGGCAAACACTGGACCTGTTGATGCTTCCCACTGGAACGGCTCTGGAGCTGCTCTCAGAAGTCCATGCCAGGTGTCTGGACAGGGATCTTGCCCTCTCCATCGTCAATACAGCTGGTGGGACAACAGTGTCTTGTGCTGAAGGTGTTTGTGGGCTACTGTTTCCTAGTAGAACTGCAAATCTTTATTTGTAAGCCAGCTAGGGCATTACTTCACTTTCTAGATCATATATATTGCTAGAAGAACTTACATTCCCTTTTAAAAGTGAAGGAATTTGTTACAGGAGGTGATGAATAGCTGTCTGAAATTCGCCCTGGAATGAAGCAGAGCAACAGTTCCCAAACTGTCATCCAAACAGGCACTTTCTCATCACACTGTCCTTACATTTTTCATTTTGTGATTTCATATCCTTTCCCTGTAGGCATACTGATAACCAAAGTTACTAAATCTGCTTTCCATTAGTCCTTCAATTTCTAATTAGAATAATCCTGAGTCTTTTTTTTACTGCATACTGCAGAGTTTATTCTGATTCACTGCATCTTGAGACAAAGCTTAATGCCTGTTAATGCTGTTTCATTAGTTTTCAGACAAAATGTCTGTTCAGCAGAATTTTGTTTTTGATACTTACGAGCTTTCACTTGCCAAAAGTTATCCAAAGCTACAGCACCGTCTACTAGATTGGCAAGTTTATTTTTACCTGGAGAAAATTTATGCAGCTTCTGTAAACTAACTGTGCTTTAAAGGAAAACTGGTCAATTTATTACTCCTTCATTTGAACAAGGTCACTATTTTCAGCCATACATAACTTTTTTTATAGGTTCAAGAGCTGTAATAAGAAAAATACGTGATTCAATTTAGCAAAATGAATCCTAAAGGATGAAATTCACAAAGGGAGAAAGGCAGAGCAAAGTGTATCTGCTGAAATGAAAATACTTATCTAGCTGGTCAGAGAATGTATACAATTCTTCTAATCATCTGAATTCACTGACTACTTAATCATGTTACAGAGCTTGGCTTTTTGTTTTAACCTAAAGATCTGTGCTTTCAGCTCCTGCGTTTTTACACTTAGCACAAACCAAGAAGGTGCTTGTCAGTCCTATATGTTCCTATAAAAACAAAGGCTAAGATAGACAAGCAAAATAAGAGGAAATGTATATTATGGAATAACAAGCTCAAAATTTCAGCTTTATCCCACAAATGGAAAAAGAAAGTCTTCGCTTCGGTTCTAATGACAGATTTTATTTTCATATACTCACTGTGGTAATTATTGGAAAGCTGACTACAGCACTGAGGTAGTGATTGGCCATGAACCAGCAGCAATTGGCTATTGCCCAAAGCACACCAGAAACGAACCCTAAAACAATAGATCCCAGTCAAAAACATGTACAACAAGGTAGAGAAAGCAATCTGTGGAACACTTAAATTTATGGCGTAATATAGGAACTGCTTATTTTAGCATGTTAACTATTTTAACAGTCTGTCTTTGACAACCTAAATCAAAACTCAAGGGATAAAATCAGCTACTCTAATTGAAGTAGCCAATTAATTAAAGTTCGGGACTTTCTGGGCAATGCGTCCCCCGCTCTGGCAAAGTGTCAGTTTCAGAAACTCCACTGTATGTAATGCCACATTTCAAATTAGAACAAAATTTATCATTGTTTCCTAACCTTAATTAATTAACCCGAATAAGAGTGCTCTTTCAAAACAGACAAAAAGTCAAATGAATAGACTTCCAAGGTTAAGTACAGATTTTGAACTAACCGCCGCAAAATGGCCAGAAGAAGTAATTGAAATTAATTGCTAATTTAACAAATGGTTGTACCTGGCAGTATGGCTTGGGGATAAACGTGAGGTTTATTTTTTCTGATTGCACAGTAGATCAAGAAGTATATCGTACTTGTAAGAAAAATGCCACTGAAGTGTGCAAAAACATAATCTAAATCTGAAAGAGAAACACAAAACTAATCAGTCTTGTTATTAATAACCACTTCTTATTAATTTTAACTAAATTTATTTCACTGATAACCTTCCTGTTGACAAAACTACTGTTAATGCTAAAAACTCAAAGTTTCACTGTGATTGTGAGGAACAGAGCAGCCGGTCTGACTGCAGATGGATCTGACCATCACCCATATAATATTAGACCTGAACTGACTGCCAAATTGACCCTAGCATTTATTGCAAGCTTTTATGAATTTCTGTGAGACTTTTTTTGAAGTCTGTTAATGAAGCCACAATCCTCATTTGAGATTACTGAGCTCTGTTGTCCCCTCCTGACTACCTACAACTACATTCCATACATAGCCCTATTTTGTTCCTTTCTGCTGTACATTTAAATGCGAGACAACTGCACATACAACACAGGCCCCAAAAGACAGTTTTGTCATTTTTTTATCTTGAAGAACCTATTACAGTTCTGATTGCTATAAACATTAACAATAATAAAGCCTTTACAGAACATATTTTGATATCTGCTAAAGATATAACATTTCCAACATGGTACAGCAATAAATGTAGCAAGATTGCTACAGCAATGACAATGGACATTTTGTCTTATATAGCTTTGGATATATAAGTTACTGTATTTAAAAGACAAATTAGATATGATACAATAAATATTTTTTATGGCAACACAGTGCTGTCTCTGTACCACACTGCTCTTAAGGAGTTGTTGCTACTAACAGATTGATTTACAGTAAACCATAAGGAGAATTTTTCCAGAGAAACATTTGCACAATGTTTCAGCATACTGTTGAAGCTTACAAGCTCCATTAAAAGGTTTCCATTTCAAAACCGTAAGGTTTTAATTATTCAGCTTGTTATATACTTCGTTCAATTATGTTCAGCCACTTTCTATTCCTTTTTTGGTGTACTAATTTGGCCACTGACATAGTTTGTGCCTTTGTTTATCACATGGTCAAGTCACATGAACTTGGTATTTTGAGAGTCCTTGCTTGGTTTCAGAATGCACTACCACTGCATTTAATACTGTGAGTCAAGTCTGGTGTTTTCTGTTCTGTTTTCCATTAACTTTCTAATAATGCAATTCACCTCTGGAAAAGGAGTGCTAATATTATTGTCACTACAACTCAGTATAAGATGGTGCAGAACTGACTAGTTCTTTGTCACCCCACATTTCTGGGATTATCAAGTATTTCACTCTGTGTCTTTACAAAAGCAAAGACACAATGCAGTCATGAAGTAAAATAAAAATTATCTACTAGCATTTACCAAATTGACTTGCTCCTGTATATATAGTGCCATTTCTTCTGCCGTGGTCCTTGATATAAAGCACAGGTACAAAACTAGAACCATAGAGTATTCCAGACACTACAGCCAGGCTACATCCTCTTCAAAAAGGAAAAACAAAGCAAAAAATCAGATAAAAGACCCTGGTGTTGATTAGGGACACAGAAAATGCACTTAACGTAAATCCACTGCTACGGTTTATAACTGGAAATTTTATGAAAGTTGCAAGCAATACTATAAAAACAATACATTTTAGCAGATTTTTATTTTGTAGTGTAAAAATGGTTCAAAACAGTAGCTTAGTTATCCTAAGCTATCTGGCCAAGAAACACAGACAATTCTTGTTCCAAGAGCCTGCAGTCTGAGCTAGCGACAAGAAAAAACAACTAACGAGGGTTCCTTAAAAGCCAAGCTGGTAGAAATCCAATGAAAATAGACTTAAAACGCTCATCATTACATATCACAGAGCAGTGCCTCCCACCTCCAGTTTCACTGCTGCGGTCTTTATTTTCCTCACGACCATTCCCAGGATCACTGCCTCCTTGCTCCCCTTTTCCCGCTCCAGAACACCGTGTCCTTGGCTGCCTCTGTGCTCCGTGCTGGCCCCTGGACCACTGCTGCTCCCTCCTTACCAAATTCACACACATCTGGGACTCGGATCTGGAAGCGTGTTGCTCCTTGTATGTTTGAAAGCTAATTAACCAGGTGATACAAACCAGCTCTGTAATTATGCAATTACCATTGAATTTTACTCTGCAGATACTGTTCTTCTATGACAGTAATTAATACTCTGACTTTATCAGTAAGATGAAGCACCTTGAACAGTGAGAATTACCTAATTAGTTTAACAGCTATTCATACTCACATAGGCATATTGTACCAATATTTTAGAAACTGTTATTTATTTGTTCCTAACTTTTTTGCAGGTTCAGCACACAAATTCTGCTCTTGTTCTGTGGACAATTACTTTTTTTGGCTACTTGGCCTACAGCAATAAAAGAAGTGTAAATGACTTACATGACTCTCTTTCTTGTTGGAGACAGTCTGTTCACCCACGAGTCATCAGAATTATTTTCAGAAACATTAATAGACTGCGGAAAAATGTAGGGTTTTATTCAAATCTTAAAAAAAATCAGAAACATACTCAAATTTAACAGTTTTCACTAAGAACAGAAAATTAAAAGTGGAAGGAGAAGTGAAATAAATTTACAAAACTGCTCTGAACAAAAGAAAGGAGAAATATGTTTGGAAATAAAACAAATCATAGTAAAAGGACCTGCCTGCCTAATGTTTATGTTTGGCTATGGACTTTGGGTTTACTACATAGTAAAGCATCCATAAACATTTCTTTTTGTCTGAAAAGGCGTTTGAATTTCAAAACCTCTCCTTCCTTAAATTTGATAAACAATTTAATGTATAGATTTCACTTGCATTGTGTTCTGACCTTTTGCTGTGGCACTACTTGCCATCAGCAAGTAATCTGCAAAAGGGACATTACATCCCTGCTTGCAAAACACCAAGTTGGAATATCCCTGTGTCCAATTCCTTGTCTTGGGTTTTGCTGTGGAACCTCTAATGACCGTGGAGCACTGCCATACATCTCTGAGGGACCCTGTATTCACTTGGCAATTTAATTTTGGTAAGTGACCTACATTAGCAAGAGCAGGGACAGGGAATGGTGGTGGGAATGGCCTGTTCTCCAGCTTTTGTTGCCTGCTTTGGGCTCCCAAAGGAGTGACAGCCAGTCTGGCACCAGCCCCTGGTCTCTAGCTGGTGCCACATCCAATGCTGAAAATCAGGGAACCGTAACCATAAGGTGGCAAAAAATCTGGCGGATAAGAGTTATGAACCCTGCTGCCTTTCATCTAAGCATTATCTTTCTTTATAGTCCGGTTTTAGTTCCAAAAACTACAGGAAAAGACTGACTGTTTATATAACCTGTGTCAAAATGAAAAAGGACAACTAAGCCATCCATAGCTGACAGTAAAGAAAGAAAACAGGGCAAAGCTTTTTTTTTTTTTTGCTCACATTTGACTAGATATATAAGATCCAAAAAATAAATAAAAACCACATGCACTTATGCAGCTTTACGTAGTTTAGCACAAATCCTAACAAAACTGGTTTACAATAAGGTTTCTTTTTAAACTTATACTTATTTTCACTGCTGTAAAATAACAACTGTAGAGCACTTACGCTTTCTCTCAGTAATGGGGTGCTTTCTAATGAAGCTGAAGAATTCTGCACTTCAGTTTTTACAAAAAAAAATATGACAGCACTGTGAAGGGAAACAAATGCCAAAAAACACCAAAGGTCAGCTCATAAGGACATAACACCCAGCTTCCAGAAACAAAAGCTATTTGAAGGCATATTACTTATTGCATTTTCACTGCTATCCCAGCATCTCTTCAATATATCTTTAAAATGCAGCTGCTTTACAAAATCTTAAAAAAAAAAACCAAAAAATAAAAACACCACACACACAAAGTAAGTAATTACAGGAATCTTTGTATCACTTCATAGTTCTTTCTTGTATATAGTGAGATTGAAATGTCTCTTTTTAATGATGTGCAGTTAGTCACATGCTAATAACACTTGCTTTAAGTTAGCAGTGCCCTTGTGCCAGGTCAGATACATACTGGAACATTTGCACGGAAATTCTACATGGAATTTCAAACTGTGTAGAATTGGATGGTGCTCAGAAGGAGAGTTGTTCTGTTATATGGAAGTGGGGCCTCATGCACAGGTACAAACAGAAGGTGCCCTGCCCCGTGCTCCTCCAGTGCACTGAGTGGGGAAGGGGAATATCAGTACTTGTATTCCCAGCTCGATGGAATCAGGTAACTCCATGCAATCAGAACTCGCAGGGTTTCTTTTGCTGTTTTTTTGTGTGTTTGCTTTGATTCATTTTAATATTTTCTCATATTTTATGTTTGGGAATTCCTTCTCAAAGCTGTAAATAGAGTGGCTCCATCAAGACTGATTCATCTCCTGCTGGAAAAATATGGAGAGATATAAAAAGATGTCAACTTCTTCCAGCAAATCCTAAGCAAATGCAGAGGTCCCATACGGAAGGCTCAGATGGAATATACACGATGAGCGCTACAGAGCGACACATGCAGGTTTTGTGCAGTCTGCCAGGAAAATATTTCTGCTCAGGATCTTTTTCCTTGTTGACTGCTTTTCCATGGTATCCCGAAAGCAGGCGGGAAGCAGGTGGTGCATTAAATAAATCCATTGGGCAGGGATAACAGCACTGCTGCTACTTTGTGAATCCCTCACAAAATCACAAACCGCATGTAACGGCCCACGAGCTGTGCACTCTCAGAAGAGGATTGGCCAAATTCATAACGGGCTCCATTCTCTGCGTGTCCATAACATCTCCTTCCCTTCACAGGCATCATGTGTACAGACCACCTGCCATGCTTGTAGAATCCCAGAATGCTCAAGGTTGGAAAGGACCTCTAGTCCAGTCCATCCAGTCCAACCCCCTGCACACGCAGGGTCACCTAGAGCACGTGGCACGGGGCTGCGTCCAAGCGGGTTTGAAGATCTCCAGAGAAGGAGACTCCACAACCTCTCTGGGCAGCCTGTTCCAGGGCTCTGGCACCCTCACTGGGAAGAAATTTTTCCTTAAGTTCCTGTGGAACTTTTGCTGCCTCAGTTTGTGGCCATTTCCTATCTATCAGTGGCCACCACTGAAGAGAGGCCAGCACCATCAAACAAAAGATCTCCTTTCTGAGACCTCTCCTCAACTCTTTGCCTGAGATCTCCCTCTCAAAAGAGCAAGTGGACTGGAATGGGATGAAGCTCCCATTTTGCACATGTTTAGTTACAGTAAGACTGCTGTCCCTGGGACCCTGAGCTACCCACCTGCTCCTAGAAAGCCCTTACCAGCCACCCAACGGGAAGGCATGGACGCTGCTACACAGCAAAGACCCTCCTTCCCCAGGGTTCACCTCCAAATATGCACTCCTACAAATAATACTGGAAGTAGAGATCCCTCTGAAATTCACAGAGAAAACCCCGGTTGGGAGTTCTCGAAAGTGCAGCTGAACCATTCCAGCACGGGAAGCTACTAAGGGCAAGGGATAATGCAAAGTGTCTGGCTTGTGATGCCCCTAAAAGGTCTGAGGAGGAGTCCTGTTCTACATTAGGAGGAGGGACTCGTTCCCCTGCCTGCAACGAGGTAGGAAATGTCACAGAGATTTTCTCCCCGAGATTCTTCTAAACATTTTTACTGATGATTATTTTCCTCTTTCACAAACTTTGGTTAATCATATGAAACATCTAGCTCATAAGAAAGTAAATGTACCTCTGTTTCACCTTCAACATGCCTACCACCATAAAAATGTATTTCCATGTTCATGAATATCCATTCCACAACTCTACTGGAAATGAAGTTTGCTTCTATTCTGAAATATAGAGTCGACCAGCTAAGTATGGACAGCTCATGATTTAGGAGGTAAATGAACTTACAAATTTTACCTTATTTGCCCTCTGGTTGTCACTGTAGTTACTGAATAGATGATATTTTACCTTATAGAAATGAATTATAACAGTATTTGTTTTTACCTCAACAATGAAAGTCCAGCTCCAATATAATTTAAAATTGGTCTTGAAACCTCTTCTGGGTCAATTCCAAACCAACCAAACCTGAAATATTTAACTAGTTTCACTTAATTGTATTGACCACATATATATACATAAATTAGAACCAGGTCCAGGAATTCTTCACTCATACAACTGATTCTCAGGCTCAGATTCGCAATATTTCACTGGTGCTTCAGCTGGCTTGCAAAAAGACAGGTTTTCTTAAAAATAATCTCTAAACTATTTAAAAGCAACTTTTTTAAAAAAATCTGTGCAGTTAAATTGTTTTATCAGCCTGTACTCCAGAAGAAAAACATACAATGTACCAGTTTCATGTTAACAAATAATATATTTATTCAACAACCTATGTTCATGAATATGAATGGGCATTTTTTCCTACTGAGAAAAGGAAGAAACACAAAAAGATAGAATAAAATAATTAGCCTAAGTATTTTCTCCTTAGGGAGAAAAAAAGATCTTTTGTGTATGATAAATGCTCCTTATTAGTGATAATATTTTCACTGTAGTCACTAATGAAGAAACAGCAGCATTAAGAATATATCAGTTAAGACGTAAATGCACTCACCTTGAACTTGCCCAGCCTGTCAGCAAATTAAAGGAAGCCCATATCAAAAGACCAAGAGCTAAGCCAATGGTTTTAACAATAGGGACAACAGTAACATTGCCTGAAACACAAAATCCGCAAAATTAAGATCAGTCTATTAAAAGATAGAATAATAGATTAGACAGGGACTTTAATACCACCTTTTAAGATATTTTTGGTGTGAATTTTTGCTACCTACAAAAAGCTGAAAGCACTACCTAGGGCCACCCAGCACTGGCAACATCATTACTCAGAACACTTACTATAAGGGTAAAGGTCTAATAATGTTGAGACTAAGAAGAACAAAGAACACCTTATATATCTGAGACTTACCATCGCTCTATTTTCTTAATGAAGAGTTAAGATTGTTTTGTGTTTCAATGTGTAAAATCTTTTTCTCCTTACCTGTAGCCCACACAAACCCTCCAGCCATGGCCAGAGGCCAAAACCGGGGGCAGTTCCGGATGAGATTGACCACCAAAGAAACTATCCATATGGAAGCACAGAGAATCCATTGGAAAAACATGCCTACGGAAAAATTCAATGTGCACAAACGGTTAAAAACAGAAAACTGGCATAATATCTCACATGTCAATCTCTTACCCCTTAACCTATTACTTTTTAGGTGAAATAGTACAGTAAAAATGAAATGTGGGCATCTCCTTTGCCAATTTCAGGGAACAAGTGTGTTACAATACATTTAAGGATATTTTCTAGGGTAGAATATTGAAAGTCATCCTTTTTCTTACTTTTCTGCACACAACCACACAAGACACTTTGCTGGGCAACACTGGACAATCCCCAGTTCTCAAATTTAGACAGGTTTCTGACATTAAATTACTGTAAACTTCTCCCAGCCCAAGAGCACCCAGCACAGCTTACTGAGCAGGACAAAACTCCCTTGCTAGTTTAATTTACACTGCTTGGCACACAGGCTTTTCCATTAACTAAATAAATTGAAGATATCTGGTTATATCTCTTCCACCTTTGCAAATCCTCTAAGAGTCAACAGTAGGTAGTCCAGTTAACTTTATGCTGGCTGAGCTACGACTTGTTAGCATTGTTATTTCCAGGCAGTTATGCAGGAATTGTTACAATAAGACAATGCAAGGTTTATTCATCTAGTGATCTGGTAACTGATTATGTCTCATATAAATGTGAAAATGAAACAGGAACCCAGTACAGTAGAGTGATAAAATTCTAAATAGGAAATAGAAGCAATTGTTTTCTCTGAGTCAATAGATGTAAGTATGAAAACTTCAATTTCTGATTGCTTTTATGTTATCTTATGTCCCCAACTAAATGGCACTACTCCAAAGTCCAACAATTTGTGCAGTGTGAATAATACTGTCAGTACATATTTTAGCATCCCATAGGGGTGGAAGACATTCCACTTTCCACTGTGAAATGCTTACAAAATGCGTATCATGACTGTTAAAAGTGCACAACAACTTCTAAGAAGACCATCTTAAAGTTTTGCTACATTGTTAAGAATATATTACTGCTTTACACTCTAACAGTAAAGAAAATTAAGACATGCTCCATGGATCAAGACCCTGATGATATGTGTAACGCTACGTATAGAAACTTCTTACCAGTAAGAAATGTAAAGTAAATAAAAACATAATCAATTTGTTTACCATCACCAGTATCAAATTTCTTGACAGGCACGAAGTTTGTCCCGAATAAAAGGACAGCTACTGCAGAAGATGTAAAGCCAACAGCTAGATCTGTTCCATTACTGCTGTTGAAGGTGTTATAGGCTTTCCAGACATTCATTTCTGTTCTGAAGCTCTTTTTGTTGTTTTACTGTCGGTCTTCACAGACTCTGCAATAAGAAAGAGCAATTAAACATGCAGGCCACAACAATACCCATACAGTTTGGAAGCAGGCAACTTACTGAAGTCTGCACTTTCACCTCTCAGCAGCAGAGAAAAGTGGCAAGGTAAACTGCAGAATCTCATCAACAGCTGCTGTAAAACCTCAATGAATGTAACTTGAGAGACACTCCTACACAAATTCTCTTTTGTGTATCACAAACAACCATGCAGCAACATAAATAGGGAGATGCACTCAAAGGATATGAAGATTACAGTGCACGAAGGTGTCGGGAAGCCCTAGGGATGCCCTATCATCACATTCCTATCTCCTAAACTAGCGAGGCCAAACTGAGGGGTGCAAAACAGCAAAGATCAGGCAATCAGATAAAATCTTCACTGATGGAAGTAGCTGCAGCAATATGCAACCTCACTGCCTGGAAGTCAAGATCGGCTACAGAGATTCCACAGAGGAACAACATGGGATCATGAGGTACTCTAAATGATACATAACATGAATAAAGGTTCTTTTTTTTAATGTGGGGAAGAGAAGAAGCTGCCTAAAGTTTCCTCCTTTGCTCCACACAGCTACAGCTAAGTAAAAGCTATATGAAGATTTTTTTTCCAGCTTTTAGTGGATATTCATCCAGAGGCTATGCCAATAGAAGCAGTGCCACGTATATGCTTTTGATATGGACCACCATGTTGATAGAAAAGATGTCTCCGATTGCGTTCTCTGAGAACACCATCATTGTAAACATCATCCCAACACCACACTTAAAAAACTATATGCAAGAGAACTGTTTGGAAATTTCACTTCAAATGCTGCAAGTGCACAAGCTCCTCCAAGCAGCAGCTGTATCTAACACTCATCTGCAAAACGTGTCTTGCCTGGTATGCATGGGCACCAAGCCAGGTGAGCAGCAGCGTCAGGAGCCCTTCAAAGGGGCTCCAATAAATCCAGTAAATCAAAGGGGCCCCAATAAATCATTATTTGGGGAAAACATCAGAAACTTTTGAGAGTAAAGGTAGTTCTTCAGCCATTTTGCACT